GGGAAACTCAGCTCGGGCACACTTCGTCCCGTTCCATCTTCACTGACCTGGTGTCAGTGTGGCAGTTTCTCTCAGATCTCAGTCCTCTCTGGGTGAACTCGACCCGGTGGGCACCCCAGGAGCGGGGCTCTCCCCGAGTTCCCCAAGCAGCTCCGCCCCAGTGGGTGGCGCCGCCCGGTCGGGTGCCGGGAGCAGGGGCAGCGCCCCCCTCCCTTCTCCTCGCTCCTGGGAAAAGGCACACACCTTTCCGGTTCCTTTGTCCCGACGTAAATAGGGCAATTCGCAGAGGCGCTGATTGGCTCAAGCCCCAAGGGGGATGGGAGTCCGATCTGATGGGCACCTTCTGCCACCAGAACCTCCCCCCCCACATTAAACCATGACATACATTCAACACAGGAGTAATTCTAAGGAAGTCTGACTTAGGCACTTGTTTAGGTCCTTGATGAATAAGCATCATGTTTAATAACAGAATTTGGCAACCTCTGAAATTCTTGACTGCTAAATCAGCAGGGATGGCGAAGGCAACAAGAAAAGCTTCTATAGGTACGTCAGTGATAAAAGGAGGACTCGGGAAAACATCAGCCTTCTCCAGAATGCAACGGGAGACCTGGTTACCCAGGATATGGAGAAGGCTGAGGTACTCAATGACTTTTTTTGCCTCAGTTTTCACTGGAAAGTGCTTGAGCCACACTGCCTTAGTCACAGAAGGCAAAGGCAGGGACTGGGAGAAGGAAAAACTGCCCATTGTAGGACAACATCACGTTCGAGGCCATCTAAGGAACCTGAAGGTGCACAAGTCCATGGGACATGATGAGATGCATCTGCAGGTCCTGAGGGAACTGGCAGATGAAGTTGCTAAGCCACTATCCATCATATTTGAGAAGTTATGGAAGTCTGGTGATTTCCCACCAACTGGAAAAGGGGAACATGGATTTGTGTTGAGCTCTGGGGACCCCAACACAAGAAGGACATGGACTTGTTGGAGCGGGTGCAAAGGAGGGACACAAAGATGATCCGAGAGCTGGAGCACCTCTCCTATGAACACAGGCTGAGAGAGATGGGGTTGTTCAGCCTTGAGAAGGCTCCAGTCAGACCTTCTAGCAGCCTTCCAGTACCGAAAGGGAGTCTACAAGAAAGCTGGAGAGGGATTTTTTACAAGGGCATGTAGTGATAGAACAAGGGGTAATGGCTTTAAACTGAAAGAGGGGAGATTTTGATTAGATCTAAGGAAGAAATTCTTCCTTCTGAGGGTGGTAAGGCACTGGAACAGGTTGCCCAGAGAAGTTGTGGATGACCCCATCCCTGGAAGAGTTCAAGGCCAGGTTGGATGAGGCTTTGAGCAACCTGGTGTAGTGGAAGGTGTCCCTACCCATGGCATGGAGGTTGGAGCTAGGTGATCTTTGAGGTCCTTTCCAACCCAAACCATTCTATGATTCTATGACCACAAAATACGTACCTCACCACTTAGTTCATGTTTCCCTGCCTAATCAAGCTATGTATTTTCTTGCTTGTGCAAGCTAAACAGTATTGGAATTACTGTGCAGGAGCAATGTTACCAGAAATAATTTGTAGGAGCATTTGCCCTACAAAAAAAAAAAAATCACCACACAATGCAGCTACTTATCTAACCCCCTCCTCTGTGATCCTACAGAGTGAGAGAGATCAGTCCTGAAGATGACAATAATCTCAGCTAAAATAACAGACTAAGAATCCTCAGCAAGTTTTGTTTTGTATTTGCCAATTTTGTTTGTGCTATTGTCTTCCAAATTTGTTCCCCATATATAGCAAAAAGCTCAGGTAAAGCAGTAATATGAACTTTTATCTTCTCATCTTCACTTCACAGCAGAGTAGGAATAGCAGAGACCCCCCATCACAGGAAAACAGAGTTCTCTACTCTCTTTTCCACCTCAATCATCCTAAACCCAATTAAATCTAAGATTTCAATTGTTAGGAAAACTACAGTCAGTTCACTTTTAAAAACTTCACCTGCACTTTGCTAAAAAATTACCACAGGGATGGTGGAAAACATTCCAAAACAAAGAACACCATCTAAACTCTTATTTTTCTTTTAAAAAGGCAAAACAAACAAACAAAAATCCCAAACCAAACACTCAACAGAAAAAGATAGGCTTATTTCAAGAGAAGCAATCCAAGGGCCAATATAAGAAATATTCATCCTGGACAAACAAATATCTGTAGATTTCATAACTGAGCAAAAAATTTCCTACAATAGCTTGGAATCTTTCTTCAAAACGGTGTGTGCTCTTTTTCAGAGCACACAAGATCGGACATCACAGCCATGACATTGCTGGACAGAAAAGCTATTTTATGTAATTTTACGGTTTTTAAGAAGGTTACAATTTTCCTTTCCCTCAGATATGTACACAGTATTCATGGTAGCTAATGCACTTGCCTTTATAAAGAAAGATGTAGGAAAATATACACATTTAAAGAATGCAATGTACAGTTTCTTAAAATAGTTCATCATATGCAGAATATTAGAAGTATTTGTGAGACCTTCATGCAGGAGTCCGTTAAATACACTGATCTACATAGCTCACGCGCTACATCACCAATCCAGGACTGCTGTATTTCTTTATTAACACAATCTTCTAGACCTTACACTGTTATGTTTTCATTACGTTATGGCATTTCACACCTGGTGTTTTTCCCTGCTGGGGCTTCCAGTGAGGGCAGTTATCAGAGATTCACAATGAAGCCAGAAAAAAATCCAACCTACCAGATCAGGGATGTGTTTTCCCTTTCTCAGAACTATGTCTCAGTGATCCCAGTGGGTTTTTACAGCAGGACAGATCCCCTCTCCAGACATTACAGTAGCATTCAAGTATATATTTATCACAACTGTATTTACAAGGACATACATGTGTGTGCCAAGATCATCATGTTCTGCAGCCCTATGAGGAAATTAAAGGCTTCACTTAAATGTAATGCTCCCAAACATCTACTGCTACAGCTTGGTGGGAAAAGATCACAACCCCAAGTCCTGTGACAAGTAGCAAACGAGGTGATCACCATCACCCTCTAACTCATTAAATTTCCCTGGTTATAGGGCAGGGAATTGATTGAAACTGATTGAAATTGATTGAAACTGATTGAAATGGATAAAGCTCCAAAACAGACCACAGACCAACAGATTCACATTTTCCTGTTTCATGGAAGGGGAGAGGGGTGTGCGGGTTATGGTCATTAAATAGCTAAAGGTGCATGTAACGAAGGCGAGCAGGACAGAGCCAGCTGTAAGAATCTATAAGACAACTACAGTCTGTATATATTTAGCAAACATTAAGACTGTTTCTTTGCTGTTTTTACACATCAGTGTCATACTCGGTGACACACAGGACAGCAGCCCTCTAACTCCAAGTGCCTATGGGGGATCTGTCTGCACAAACTCTGGGCAACAGATCTCCTGGCAGGGGACCCTGCCACGGGGCCACATCCAGGGCCACACTCTTGTCTGCTTTTGGAGAGATGAAAAAGAGCCCATCCATATCCAACGCAGGGCAGGCATAGGCTCCTTAAAAAGAATTTTGATGTAATCTAAGCAAAAAGTCAAAATAGAGAGAGGACATTTCTAAGAAAAGGCTTCTGTCTTTTTACCTGAATCCATATATTTTGCTCTATCCAAAGTAAATATTTAATATTTCAAAGACTCTTATGTAAACCTCATCTGTTGCACTGCTCTGAAGCAATGACAAAACCCAGGAATGCAGAGCCTACGGGCACTCTCCAGCTACTGGTGCTCCTTGGAGGAGCCAGCACTGACCCAGCAGGCTTGTCTCATTTCCATGAAACGATGATAAACAGAACCGGTTCCCAGCAAACAGGCTAAGAGCAAAGGAAACTTCAGGGCTGGCACATTCCCCAGATCCAGGGAAGCCTCAAAGCTCCCCGATGCTGGAGGCAGGACTGCTGCCCCAGCAGGGAAGGGCTGCTGGCACAGGGACCCTGGCCAGGTAGGCAAGTGCTTCACACTCCAGCCAGCAAAGCAACACCGTTAACAGGCTGCCATCGTGATTTATGTTATGTGGTATATAAATGATGTTTGCTTATGAAAAGTAAAGACTAGTTTGTAGGCGGAGGAGAAGGAAGCCAACAAGAATAACTGAACTGTCTTAATTTATTTCTAGACTTTTATGGAATCTACTCTGGCGCTGACTTTTACATGGGTAAGACAGCATACGTCTCTCTCTCTCTCTCTCTCTCTCCCCCGTACCTTTACCAATCAGTCCCATTCTGTCTGATTTCTGCCAAAGCGTGCTCGTTAGCTGGGCAGGCATTAACAACATTTAGACCAAATAGGATCTCTAGGTATTAATGTTCGTGGTTGTCACTGATGCTATTAATCCTAAAATAAAGTAAATTTTCATTCTTAAAATAATTTTAAAATGTTCCATGGCATGTTTTGAAAGATTGTCTAGGAAAAAACACTAGAAAGCAAGAAAATGCTAGAAAACAGAAAATTATTTTCATATATCTTTAAAATTACCAAAACAGCCAACATGCTATGCATGCTTAATATTTTTTATATATTATCATCTATAAGAAATTATCAATCATAAAAGCATTGCTTCAGTTATACTGCTGTATTCTAGTACACTACCTTGCACTGTGGTACCTCATGAGAAAAAATAAAAGGGCATCCAAGAAATGTATAGAGACACTTATTAGTGGCCAGTCATGTTTATGCTCATTTTTCTTGTCCTAGACCTTTATGATCTAGCAATGGAAAATTTTTCTTCATCTTTTTCAGAAATAACAGAAAATTCCAAGAAATGGAAGCCACTGCTAGCAAAAGAAGAAAAGCTAAGTATCATCAGGGTTAATAGCTCCTATTTGAGATCCATGAATGATTACAGAGTTGCTTTTCTATATCGAACTTTCAAGTTTCATTAATAATATGCTGCCTCTCTGGGACATAGGTGCGCTCATGGTACGAAGGCTATTTATTCGTCACACGGAATAGAAGAGCTAGAGGAACAATGGCTTCAAAGGTTTCATGCTTATATGTTTTGACAGTAGTTTGTTGGGCAAGCGCTCTTTGGTACTTAAGTATAACTCGTCCAACTTCTTCCTACACTGGCCACAGACAGATCAGTAGCGTTTCCATAGCCAGAAAAAATGTTTCCTTTGGCAACATAAGAACTCGACCTATAAATCCACATTCCTTTGAGTTTATTATCAATGAACCCAATAAATGTGAGAAGAACGTCCCTTTCTTGGTCATTCTTATCAGCACAACTCACAAAGAGTTTGATGCAAGGCAAGCCATCCGGGAAACATGGGGAGACGAAAACAACTTTAAAGGAATTAAAATCGCCACGCTATTTCTTCTTGGAAAAAACGCAGATCCTGTGTTAAATCAAATGGTAGAGCAAGAAAGCCAAATTTTTCATGACATCATTGTGGAGGATTTTATTGACTCTTACCATAACCTCACTCTGAAAACATTGATGGGGATGAGGTGGGTAGCAACGTTTTGTTCAAAAGCAAAATATGTTATGAAGACAGACAGCGATATTTTTGTAAATATGGATAATCTTATTTATAAGCTGCTCAAACCTAACACGAAGCCAAGGAGAAGGTACTTCACAGGTTATGTTATAAATGGAGGACCAATACGAGACGTTCGCAGTAAGTGGTACATGCCGAGAGATTTGTATCCTGACAGCAATTATCCACCCTTCTGTTCAGGCACCGGCTACATATTTTCAGCTGACGTAGCAGAACTGATTTACAAAACCTCCCTTCACACGAGACTTCTTCATCTTGAAGATGTGTATGTTGGACTCTGTCTTCGGAAGCTGGGCATTCACCCCTTCCAAAACAGTGGCTTCAATCACTGGAAAATGGCTTACAGCTTGTGCAGGTACCGCAGGGTGATCACTGTGCACCAGATAACACCAGAAGAAATGCACAGAATTTGGAATGACATGTCCAGCAAGAAACATCTTAGATGTTAAGATTTTTACAGATGTAAATACCTTTTTTTAAATTTTGGTTTAGCCTGGTTATTTTTTGACAAAGTGATCTGCTGATTTACAGGTCGAACTGTGGGATATTAACTGTGAGAGGATTTTTAATGACTTATTTTTCATTCTCATTTTGACTACTGGTTTACAGACTTCAGACTCTTTTCATAAGGACATTACACCAACTGAAAGGATCTAGAGTCAAATCTCAGATTTTGTATATTATTCTCTACCACGCATATCAGCTCCTGCATCTATATGTAAAAGGACAATAATAAACTGTCATGAGCTGCTTAACAGTTCATGCCCCAGCCTCTGAGATAAGACTCAGGCCCTAAGAACTCAAGAATTACAAATATACTTCTATTCCTTTTTTGACACCCTATGACCATCTCTGTTTAAAGCTTTGTCAATAAATTCAGCAGTATACATTTGCACTGACATCTATCTTGACATGTATATTTTATATACAATGTGCACAATTCCCAAACAGCTTACTGATGGTACAATAGCAGAATTTAGACAGGTAAGAACATCAAAGACTCTCAGGCCTTAGAAATAAACCCATGCACTGAAGTATATTTTTATCCACTAAATGGTATGCCTTTAAATTATTTCAGAAGATACTCCATTTCTTTCTACTGCCTAAATTAGCCCCTAAAAAATCTAATAAAATTTTAAAATTAAGTAGAATCCATAGGTAAAATAAGACAGGTGAGATGTATGAAAAAATACCTTAAAATTCATTATAAAAATATTAATATCTTTTAAGTTTAATTTCAAAGCAAGTGCAACGTTTCTTGTATCAGTGGATCTCTCTATTGAGCGTCTTGCATAGCAATATATAATTATATTGAACGATAAAAGTGTCAGTAAGCAGCATATTTCTCCAACATCAGTCAGTACACTATGTTAAAAAAGTAACACAAAACCAGCTTTTTAAGGGTGAGCTCTACTTTTTGCTACAGTACCTACATGAATGAGCTTCTACCAGATTTTTAATGGTGTAGAAGAGCAGAGTTTTGTCCAATAAAAGAACGCAATCAATTTTCTGTTGATTGGGCAACAGATTACCTAAAAGTTATGTACAACTTCCACAGCAAAATAGAGGGCTTCTAAGAACCACCTATCAAAGAAAAACAAATTCTAGCCTTTGTTACAAATCTGTTACTCATCACAGAGCCAACACTCACTGAGGTCCTGCTCAAGAGATCCCCAGAGCATGCGACAGAAATCAAAGACACAAGATTTTATTGAAGTTTCATAATGTGCTTATGTGTTTTGAATTTAAATGTTAATGAAATATCATGGAAATCACATCCTGGAAAATTCTTCAGTAAATTCAACCCATCTCTATTCAGCACCACCTTCTCACAAATAGCTAAAAATATGACACTGCTCAGCAAATAACTTGGAATCAAGAATTCACAGACAAGTTACACAGGTACAAAATTCACCAAATACATTATTAGCTGGAGATTACTCACACCATCCACAGCACACGCAAAAGTCTCATTCATTTCAGCTGGCGTTACGTGTAACATATGAAAAACTGTTAAGTCTGCACATTATTCAGGATGTCTATAAAGTTGTCAGAAATTAACCAAGTAAGAATTTAAAGGAAAATTTTGACCTGATTTTGCCATAGGTGTACATAGCACTTTACAACAGTAACAGAAGAATGAAGATGCTATCCCAAAAGGTTTGCAGTTTCATGACAAATTTTTAGTCTTATTCACAGATGCAGCACTACCGTTTTAAAAGGAACTACTTGTAAATAAGGTGAAGTGTACCTGGCCTTCAAGCCACAAGCAGTAGGTGTCTCAAACAAATCTACTTCAGCTCTAAACGTGAAGCTACATGACAGATAGCCCAGGAGTTACTGCTACTCAACAGGGGCTTGTGCATCCTCCATAAATGAAAATCCGTAATTTTACATAAAAATACTGAATCTTTCGCAGCATAATTAAGATTTATCCTTCCCTAGTTGACCTAGTCCTTGTTAAAGTTGCTCTTGCTTCCTGTCAAACTCAGAACTCTAGCTAAACAAGGTCCAACTAATTGCATAAATAAACATACAACATACACACACCCCAATAGGGTGAAGTTCAGCTTTCCTTACCAAAGCCCCAGAATACGTAGTTGAGGAAGGGAAAACAGGGTGGAACTCATCACCAACCCCTTGGGTAAATCAGAAAGCATGGATGTCGGTATCAGGAACACACTTTGTAAGAATTTCAACCCACAGGTTGCAATCACTTCTACTACCCCTCTGCACTGTGCAGTAACTTGGGGTTTCTGAATCCACAACCAAATGGATCTGGTGGCCTTACTTCTCCTGCTGACACTTCTGTGGCCTTTGGTTAGTAACCAAGAGGACAGCAGGGTTCCCAGTCCAGACACCTCAGGGCTCAAGTAGCACAGCAGCCTTGAGTTTCTCCTAGTGCAAGTAGACTGCATTAATGATAGGAAGGTACATCCTGAAAATAGTATATGAAAAAAATGTATTTCCTGCCATTTATAAATAGATCTTCAACAGAAATGTAAATGTTCATCTTGGACCTGATGTACATATTTCTAAGGCATTTTCTTCTGTATTCAGCTGTATATACGTGTAGAGTCTGCTTGCTACGTAGTATTCTGTTATGCATGGAGCTGAGTTAGGCATTATATTTGTCCAGTGTTTCCAGAGCCTTAAGCATGTGTGCCCTAACTTCTGAATGTACAAGATTTTGTTTTCTTTTATTGTCAAGTGAATTTAGAAGAACACAACAGAAGCCTAAATTTCTTCTATTAATTTTCTGATACTAGACTTCACTATCTTGTTAGTAAGATTTATTACTTCTCTTTGTTCAGAACCTGCAGTATTGCAACCTGGAGCTAAAAAGGGAGCAATACATCTACTCACAGGGACAGCTTACTGTCCCTTCCACACAGCAGTATTTGTGCCACGTGGGGTACTGTTAACAAACAAGTGTTTGCATTGGGCTTCCTTTAATGAAAAGAAATACTTAGGCTACTTGAAGGTCATTTTGTTTCACTGGGCATGGGACAAATGACAACTTGGTAGAGACGTGCTGGCTTCTGGTCACTTCAAAAGTGTGACTATAATCACATTTTGATTCCAAAATGCACATCAACAAAGCACATTGAGCAAAGAAACCAGAGGGAAAGGCCTCTCTTTAGAAGGAGTTTTTCACAAAAGCTTTTTTTGCTAAAACCGTGAGAGTATTTAAACAGAAGTCTCAAGGTTCATCTTCCATCTTTCCTAATAATAACATTAAGTATCAATTTTGATCAATTTTTTTTGTCTTTATAATGTAGACAGCAATGGCAATTTGTAAATGAAGAGTGTAATTAACTAGAAAAGCTTGTCAATGGTAACCGAACTTTAGGTGTATCATTATATATGACTGGTTGTACTTATGTATTTATTTGTCTAAATTGTATATATTGTTTTATCTATAGTGTCTGTAGGAGTGCATTCTTTTAGATTAAAGTATTATTTACAGTTTTGTGGGATTGCCAGCAAAGCTGCTAATCAAGATACTATTTTTTTGTATCAATGTCAAATAATAAAAAAAAATAAGAACAAGATCAAATTAAAAATTGAAAGTGTCCTGTACGGTTTTCTTCTTCACTTCTCTCTAGAATGATAAGCGGTATTATCTGAAAACAAAGTCCCAATGAGTAGCCTTGTTTGTCACAAGGAAGAATATCACGCTGTAAAAGCAGATTTTTACAAAATAATAGAAAAAATAAAGACAACAAAAACATTTATTTTATTCATTATTTTTGCAAGAACTTCATCAAGCTGATGTCCACACTGATCAGATGTACTACTTCATTTGACTCCAAAGACTCAAGATTATAACATAGCCATGGCAATATCTGGCAAATGAGCAGGTGGGTTCATCGTCTGCCTTGTGTTAATCCTTGTGCTTTGGCCTCCCCAGCTGGCAACACTGAAGTTGGGCAGTTCTAAGGTGGCAAAGCTGTTTGACCCCCTTGGCCCTGCCTGTCATTCTTCTGCAACCTTGATGGTGTATGCTTGCTGCCAGCCAAAAGCTACTCACGAAAAAAAAGAGGAAGTACGAACGTCCCCAAGTCCACATCTCAAAAGCCCACTAAACTCACTTCGAAGTTGCTGTGTGACTGCCAGGAGGGTGCCCGTACAGAGGGGAGGGGTCCTCCCCTGGCCCCTCGGAGCCGCACATCGACCCTGGCAGAGCTGTTTCCTTCCCCAAGCCTCCCAAAAGCACCACGAAATAAATGAAAAAGCAGAATCTGAATACACTCAGATTATCCAGTCAGTCTCATGTGGAGTTTGTTTCCTGATACAAACATATTAAGATGCTGCTTTGTCCACTAAGAAGGCCTGAGCAACCTTAGGGTCTTCACATCAAAATACAAACACAAAACAAGAGAACATAAAAGCAGGACAGAGTCCCTTTTATCGTAAGAACTAACCATCTCTCTTCATTCTCCCTCTTTGCAATTTCCTATGTAGAATGAAATATCTAGCCTCTTTGATTACTGGTTTCAGAGCTCAGTAACCACAACTCATTGCATGAAACTGAAAGGAAAACAACACACACCTCCAAGAAGAAATGTAGCTTTTGTAAACCAAAGAGGATTTTGATTTGGGTCACCTCTTTGAGAAGCAGCTGAAGCCTGCTACAGAGTTCTCGGACATCCCAGGAGTGTCTGTAGCAACACAGCAACCTTACAAATTATAACAAGATGCTTTAAAACAACTAAGAGTTTCACAAATCGTAAAAATCCCTCCAATCATTTTCATTTTTCTCTCATTTTCACCGTACCAGCCTGAGTCTAATTGCAACACTTACATGGTGTTTAATTAATATACAGCTTGAAGATATACAGATATTAGCACTAGTAGGGTGGATTTCATGTAGCTTGATTATCTTAATTACAAGCATTCTATTTTCTCATTTACTTAATTGATTGTCACAGATTTCCAAAGAAATTTGCACTGCCCTAAGTGAAAACATGTAAAAAAAACTTCTTAAACTGCTGAAGCTGGCCTATTCAAGCAGTGATGCGCCAGAAAAGATCTGTATGACACGAAACATTGAACTGAATAATATCTGCTTACTTTTCTCTTGTTAAAAATAGGGATTTATGAAATGGAAGAAGAGGAGTCATCTGGGAAAAAAATGAATATGCCTTATTGATTCAACTGCACCTGTAATAGAGTTGTCTCGAGCATCTCCTC